ATCTGGTGTTCCAAAACAAAAAGAGAAAAAATGAGGTAAAAAGTTGTGAAGAAATTAGGTTAAAATCCCCAAATTTAGTGAAAAATACCTATTTAAGATCCCATAGACATAACATGGTCACCACATTAAAAATTGGTTATATTGGACATTTATTTCAAAATCTTTTTTTAAATAAAAACACACTGCCATCGGTATAGACTTTTCAAGTTTACAATGCTTTTTTACGCAAAGCATCACAACTTTTCCACTTACAATAAGGAGAGGATGGCGCTCTGTTTTCACTGTGCTGATTAAAGAAACTGACGCAAAGAAAGTAAGTGACTTGATATGACCAAATGCTGAGAAGGCCCAGAACAAAGCTGAAGGCTTTGACTTCCAGGTCAATATCCTTTACACCTGGCCAAGCTAAGCTGTTCATGCTGTGCTCTTTGACTCACTACAACTGGTCTTTGCTGATTTCCAGGCCAGGGAGGCACACTAAACAAGAGCTCTGATGCTGCTGCAAAGGCGGGAACCAATGGTCATTCATCTGTCATGTCTGCCTGATCCCTGAGTAGTACTGCTAGACAGATACTTTATAGCATCCCCATTGAACCACAGAGGTGGGAGTGTCACAGCCTGTGATTCTGGGATGCGTGTTACTAGCCCACCTGTCTGACAGCTCCAGCAGGTTCTAACTTCCTAGGAGCTCATCTAGGGGAAAGTCAGCCTTCACTTGTTTCACGTGATAGTCATTGAATCATTATACTTGCCTTCATTTTAGTAGACTCCATTCCTCTTTTCATTTGTTTTTCCTTCTAAACTATCCATCACATGTGCATCTCTTGCCTAAATATTTTCCACAGTCTTTGATTAAGTCTTTAGTGGGGACCCACATGTATAAAATAGTCAGATCAGTACTGGGTATGATTAGTTAACTAATTAGTCAAAGAATCAATGCACTCCATACAAAGTATTTATTGAAATGCCCTAAATGCTAGGCACAATGCTAGGTAACAGGCAAGCAAAGATGAACACAATATAGTTTGCTCTTAAAGGTCACACAGTCTGTTCAGGGAGAGAAACTGTAAAGACATAGGGAATTCACTGTGATAATGCAAAAAAACGAGGAACACGGCAGGTACAGAGATCGTGAAGACGTGTGTGTTGCCAGCTCTGTCTGGGTTGCTTGAAGCAGTCTTGCCTCAGAAAAAGTGGTATCTCAGCTAGGCCTGGAAGAAAGATGGGAGTTTACAAATTGCATAGAGGAGAAGTAAGAGTGGACTTGGTTTATCCGGGCAGAAGAATAGTGTGAGATGAGGAACAGATGGAAATTATTGGAGATGGCAAACTGTATTTTCATTAAAAATATTTTAAAAGACAAAGTGTCAAACAATAAGAGAATTACTGAATAAATAGGAAGATCCAGGTATTGTAATGTTATTGTGAAGACTATGGTAAATTTTTATGGAAATGTTGCTTATAAAATTATGTAGACATTAATTACAATTATAAGTATTATTACATTGATGCAATATCAAAGGTTCACATTAAAAACAACAACAACACTGTGTTGGAGTGGAGGAATTCTGTGTGGCTCCTTTTACACCTCAGTACCTGTCCCCTGTGCAGGCATCACCACAGTGCTGACCATGACCACGCTCAGCACCATAGCCAGGAAGTCCTTGCCTCTCGTCTCCTACGTGAGCGCCATGGACCTCTTTGTGACCGTGTGCTTCTTGTTCGTTTTTGCTGCTCTGATGGAGTATGCTACCCTCAACTACTATTCAAGCTGTAGAAAACCAGCTACCACCAGGAAAAAAACATCGGTGAGGTCCAGCAGCAAAGATTTTCTGGGAAGTTAGGGGGAGGATAGTTT